AGCAGGAGGAGGGCAAGAAGGAGTAGCCTCGCCACAGGCCAGAAAAGCAGCTGGTACTAAAAATAAAACCACATTTTATTGCCTGGTATCATTTTTGTGTGACTCTTGGAATTTAGCAGTTCCAAAAAAAAGGTTGTACCCAGATCAAAAGAAAGGCAGTGGGTGGGATAAAGGAAGCTTCTCTTCACAGAGGTTTTTCTGGCAATACTTCAAAATAGCCATTTGTCCTGTTATTAAGAATATTCTACTTGAATATTCATGAGATTTAGGATAGTAGCATTCTCTTTTCTCTCATTAATTAATGTATTAAAAATCGCACCATGAACAACAATCACCAAAAAGGAAAATGTTGATTTTAAAACAACACCTCTAATTTTATTATAATCTACATTTTTGTTTTATGGATATTATACCAAAAAAGAAAAAGGATTTCCTTTTCAGCTTACTGAAATATGTATTTCTCTCTTTAGAGGATACACCCTTTGCTGGGTCAGTTTTAAAAAAAAAAAACAACTGTGCAGACTTTGATTTCATGATGTTTCCTAAATGCAAGAGGAAGAGGCAAGTACCGGGACTGTGGCAGGAAAATGCTCACTCCCTTTCTGTTCCTCTGCCCTTTCAGCTCTTCCTGTGGGCCACGGGTTGGGCTCGCAGGGATCCCTAAGTTCATGGATCCACACCCTTCAAATAATCCATACAGTTCCAGTACTGCTGAGGCCTTGCTATGATGTCAAAGCAGCTCATTTCAAACTCAAATGTTCTGAAAATACAGAAACTCAAACCCACAATCCTAGCAGCAAGAGGATCTTTTAAAAAGGCCCCAAACAAACAACTAACACAAAAGAAACATTTCTGCAACTGAAATACGATGTTGACCTAATAGAATGCCTCGGAGTTGTAGGACACCTTCACGTGCACACCTCACTTTAGAGATGAGAAAATTTAGGCTCAGAGACGTCAGTGTCCCTGAAAGGACTCCCCAGCTCTAAGCCTGGTGGGGTTTCTGCATCACGTCTCAACAGTGAGCAAATCCACTACGACGATGAACGCAAGAAGCAAACTTACGTCGCAAAGCTACAGCTACTGTTTGCTGTTACGTTGAGTCCTGGGCAGAAGTTTAGTCCCAGAAATTCATTGTGCTGCAAAGCCTGTAACACAAGGAGGAGCAGGGCAGGGAAAATAGTTTTACATTTCATAAAGTTTCCAAAGAAGTATCACAACCCCATCCTCTGAATTTAATCTTCATTGTTATTTCTCAAAAATAAAAACCAAGCTTCATGTTCACAGTCTTTGTCACACCAAAGCAGCTAAAATTATTTTCCCTGGCAATCAAGAGGCCCAGGGTTAAGATTTTGGCTTCTAATACAAAGGAAGTTAAGTATTCAGCCAAGAGGGGAGATCTCTGGTTCTGTTACCCTATAGTCCTTTCCTTTTTCTCCCCCAGTGTGATGACCCCATAAACACTGTAATTAAAATGATACAGTGGTGCTCAGTGACTATTGGTAATTTATGGTAAGAATCTTTTGTATTGCTCTTGTTTATTCTCATCAAACCCAGTTCTAATTCTTGGGAGTTAGAGACATTTATACTACATTAAGGCATGGTTTTCTCTGGAGATGATTAGCTTTCTAAAGCCAATAGTGGCTATGAGAATTACATGGTCTTCGTTTTTCTTCTAATTTTCCTTTCGATTTAAAATACGTATTCTAGGCTCCCATCCTCTCATTAATTTCCTTACTGAACTGAAACACTGTATTTTTTCACATCAATTAGTCGCTCTTTCTCCTTCACCATGAGTTATCTCCCCACCCATTACCTTCCTCCAACAACAGGGTGACTGGGGAGATGCCCAGTGATTCCCAAGGTGACCCAAGGCTTAATAACATGAAACTCTACTTCATTCTCTGAAAACCTGCACAGCTCGTGGCTGGGGACATGAGGTGGTTAGGCATTATTTTGGCCATTCCCAACACGGGAACAATGAACTGGTCACAGTGACAAGGAGAACGTACCGTATAGCCATATCGAGGAATGCTGAAGTACTGAAGCCACGAGAGCCAAGGTGCAATGGTTCTGAGATTCACCAACAGCCCCGAAAATATCTACAAAAAGCAAATTCCAAGAATCAGAACTGGTGAAGTGATTTCATGAAGAATTCTAGCAAGCACCCTCCTTAAGTCCCCACAGCCTTGTAACCACTTCTGCCAAGGCCAACTCTTTCTTGAAATTCCGTCCACTGCCCTGGAGATGTAGCATACCCAATTGGTATGTGTATACCTCTCGAGAGCTGGGGCTGTTTAAGGTTCTAAAGGGGTGACAATATATCTATAATATACATTTCATTTAATTGGGAGATCTTTAATTGCTGAGGCTTTTACTTTCTCTGTAACTGCACACAATGGAAGGTCAGTACATACTGACTGTTCCAGTGATACAACCACTGTTATGTTCCCACCAGTAAACATACCAGAACATACCCTGAGCATCTCATGTCCCTATTTCCATAACACAGTAATATTTATTTACAAGGGTTTGCACTCTATCTCTGCATGGTGTTAGGAATAATTTGGGGTTCAGAATGCATGCTTAAAATAACCCAAAGCCTGGAACTGATACATAGCATAATGTGGTAAAGCAAAGCATAAAACATGATCGGTATCTTCATTTAAAGCTACAAAAAAGCAGTATTGCGATGGATATGAAGGATCACTCCAGCAAGAGACAGCTACATAAGAAGAGGTTCACATAAAGCTTTTCCTAACTGGCACAAGGCATGCTGGGATGGGCGTAACAATGACAATATTTCTGGTGTGACTACGGATTTTTAAGCTTGACCCAACCTAGTGCTTAATACATAACACACAGCATTGCTGAGTAAAATACAGTCTTATAACTGATTTTTAAAGTTCTACATACAAACCCTTAAATAACAATAAATCAAAGCATCTAATAATATCAAACAAAACATTTTTATATTTGAAGAACATCTTATTTATTGAATGACATTATAGAAAATATACATGAAGCTTATCATTTTCTCAATAATGTTTAGATTCGTAGCTTTCAAACTCAGAAATGGAAGAATTAAACTTTGGTAAGAGCCTGTGCTAATTACCTACCATTTAAATATATGTGATCTTACCCTAGCAGAAAAGGTATGTGTATTAAGTAAATAGGCTACACATTCCTGTTTGCTCAGTGTTGGTGGGAAATGTGGTAGCTGGTTCCCTTCACTTGCAGATTCACTACTGTGTACACAAAACTTAGGACCATGTGAGGTTAGGA